AATGGCCTGGAACTCCTGATATAGACCAGGCTGGCCTTGAACTCATAGAGATCTGCCTGCGTCTGGCTCCCAAGTGGAATTAAAGGTGGGCACCACCTGATGTATTCATTCTAGACACATATAAACTATTAAAATTAAAACACAAAGACAGAAAACCCAAGCAGGCTGGTAGGTTGCAATAAGTAATAGAAAGGCTCCTAGCAAAGAAAAGCCTGAGAACAGGTGGCTTCCACACTGAGTCTGACCGAACTTCAAAAAAAGGATCAGTGTCACTTCGTTTAAAGGCAATTCCAAAGGTCTAAACCACAGGACGGAGCCCTCCCAAATACATTTATATGATATCAGCATTATTTGATACCTGAAACCACACAAGGACACAGAAAAAAAGCAAAACTACAGACCAATATCCCTTATGAATCTGGATATTAATAAAGCACTAGCAAATATACAATATGATTAAAAATAATATAAATAAACTTTTAAAAAGTATGTGTGTAAGTGTAATGCTTCAGGGCTTTGCTCAGGAAAAAATATTTTTTGATTACGACTCCCAAAACACAAGAAACAAAAGTAAAATTGACAGATGAGATCATATAAAATTAAAAGCTTCTACATAGCAAAAGAAATTAGTGTAAGGGGATGGAAGATGGATAAATGGTCAAGAACACTGTCTGCTCTTTCAAAGGACCTGGGTTCAATTCCCAGTACCCACATGGCAGCTCACAACTCTCTGTAACTCCAGTTCCAAGGGATCCAACACCTTCATGTTAATGTACATAAAACAAAAAATAAAAATAAAAAAATTAGTGTAAAATGACAATCCAGAAAACAGGAGAAAATGTTTCCTATTAATCCTACAAGGAATTAATTTCAGGAACGTGTTAGAAACTCAATAGCAAACATCAATTAGTATGCTTTCAAAATAGGTAAGTGACTTGAATGGATTATATTTTTTCAAAAAGGCTAGGCAATTAGCTAAAAAGTGTCAAAACACTCAACACTTTAAATGATTAAAAAAAAAATCCAAAAAACAGTCAGGCAAGGTAGCACGTGCCTTTAATACTAGCACCCTGGAGGCAGAGACAGTCATATCTCTGTGAGTTTGAGGCCTGACTGGTCCACAAATTGAGCCCAGGAAAGCCAAGGCTACACAGAAAAACTGTGTCTTGAAAAACAAAACACAAGGAACAAACAAACAAACAAAAACCTACCAAGAAAACAGCCTCAATAACTGATGCTGGCTAGCGTGTGAGGACGAACTCCCACGCACTGTTTGTGGGAAGGTGAACTAACTAGAACAGCCACGGAAAGATGCTTGGATGTTCCTGAGCAAACTAGAACCAGAGCTATCACGTGATTAGGCGATTCCACCCTTGGGTCCATCCAGTGGAACTGGAAACAGTGAGACAAGGGGGTGCTTGCGTTTATATGCCCCCTGGCCACCTTTTATGGTGGTCAATGTGGGGAGCCAATCACCGAGGCAGAGATAAGGAAAACTCGGTTCATCCATGCAACAGACTGGCATTCAGCCATAAGAGAATGGGATTCTGCAGCTCCAGCAGCAAGGATGGAACTGGGGTGTGACCATAAGTAAAATAACACTCTCAGAGAACCAGAGACTGGAATAGTGCTTCCTAGAGCAGCTGGCTGATGGGGGTGTGTGCGCACTTGGATGGTAGAGACCGAGCTTGCTTTTCTGCAGCTGTGATAAATGCCATGACCAAGAGCAATGTGGGGGAAGGGAGGGTTTATTTAATCTTAGAAGCTTACAGTCCACCGTCAAGAGATGCCAAGGCAGGAACTCCGGCAGGAGCAGGAAACAGAAACGATGCTCGCTAGCTTGCTCATTGCCCTGATTCTTGTGTAACTGAGGCCCACCTACCCAAGGGTGGCATCGCTTATGGTAGGCGGGGCTCCTCCACATCAGTCAGCAAGAAGATGCTCCACCGGCATGTCCACAGGCCACCCCGACGAGGCAATCCAGTTCCTCAGCTAAGATCCCCTCTCCCCTAGCTCGGCTAGATTGGTGTCAAGTTTACAAACTGGGACAGGCAGGAAGGATACGCTTCCTAACGCTCTCCTGTGATGTTCTGACGTCGGTGGGTATGAGCATTTTGCCCGCATGTACACGCCTGGTGCCTACAGAGATCAAAAGGGGGTGCTGGATCCCTTGGAACTGGAACTGTATCGAGCTGCCACGTGTGTGTGCTGGGAATGAAACCCAGGTTCTCCTCGAGAGCAGCTAGTGCTCTTAACCATCATCGCTCTCGCCCCTTCCTAGTGTCTTATAGGATAGAATTACTGCGATTGTCAGTGATCTAAAAAGAATATTTCAAGTTAGTCAGTAGAGAGGCTTTAAAGTTTCTCAACAGAAAGAAATGGCATCTGTCTGAGGCAATAGCGAGGCCAGTTCCCCTGGCTTGGTTGTTATGCACTGTATTTAAGAGCCTCACAGGGCCTCATGAATATGTATGATCACTATGCATTAATTAAAATACATCTTAAAAAGAAGACAAAATCAGATATTGAGTAGTGGGCTGGGTCAGGCATGCTCCTTTCTGTCATTCCCTCTTCCGTGGTCAGCTCAAGACCAACGTCATCTTCGATGAGAAGCCGTGTCGTTTAAATGTTCTTCCAGCCGGGGGCGCCAAATCATCAGGCATGTCCCTGAGCCACTTGTCAGCCCGGAAAAGAAACTTCTCAATCTCCGTTTGATGCTCTGTGAGTGTGTGTGTGTGTGTGTGTGTGTGTGTGTGTGTGTAGTGTGATATGTGTGGTGAGTGTATGTGTGCTTGATTTGTGTATGTGTCTTGTATGTGTGTGTGTGTGTATTTGTGCATGGTGTGTGTGTGCTTGTGTGTACTGTGTGTACATGTGAGCACATATTGCATGTGTGTCTGGGCGTATTAGGTGTACATGTGGGTGAGAGCTGTGTACGCATGTGCTTGTGTGTGTAGCTGCATGGCAGGAGTGTCTGGTCCAGGGAGAGTGCCAGAGAAGATGCTATGCGTTTCCATGGAAATGGGGTGCTCTCTGAGCACAGTGTTCCCTTAGAGGCCGACGTCCCTAAGCAGGTAGTTGACTGGGCACGGTGGCTTGAATTGGGATGCTGCTCTAAAGGACTGTGAGTGATGACGGTGTAAGAGAACCCTAGAGCACAAGATGCGGGCCCAGGAGGGCTCAGCCCGGTGAGCTGAGGACATAGATGCCGGTAGTATGTGTGGGAAGAAGAGCCATTCCTGTGGTAGATGGAGGACGGCTCAGATCAACAGCTGGGCTCCTTTGTGGCCTCCCTGGGGGGCTGAGAGGCATTCGAGGGGGTACAGTAGCCACCGGGGAGCCTCCTGTCCCAGGAAGAAGCCAACCATCCCAAGCACTAAGAAAAAAAAAAAAGGCTCCAGACTGTTTAGGCCTAGCTGAGGCCTCTCCGGCGTTCGCTGATACTGGATTTGAGGGCTCAGAGCTCTCAGAGGTGCCTGTTTCAGGCCAGGAGTCGGCATATTGTGGGAGAACAATGGGAGTCTGTGCCCACCACACATCCCCACGGCACACCCCCAGAGGCTTCTCCACAGTGGCTGTCGTCTTCCGAGAGGGAATTCTGTCTTTCAGCCCTAAATCCCTAAGGTCACAGGATCTCTGTGTGTGGTCTGACAAAAGCAGCCTGGCTCTGCCTGTCCCTGGCCATGGCTGTCCTGGGTACCTTGCTTGACCCTGTTGGAGTCAGTACCTGGGCACTGTGTAGAATGGATGGCAGTAGCCGGACAAGTGGGGAGAGAGGAGCCGGTGACTCCGATTGGATGGGCCTCGTGTGCAGCCCCGGCAGGGCAGGGGACCGGGAGGGAGGAGGATGGGAAGAGCACGGAGAGCACGGCGTCAGGAAGGCTGAAAAGTGCTGTGGTTCTGACTTCTGAAGGGACTGTTCCTTACAACCCGTGCCAGATCAACCTCTAGGTAGTGGACTCTGCCCTGGGGACGCCACGGGCTGAGAAGGAAGGTAAAGGCTCTGCCTTGCCAGAAGGGTGAGAACTGGGTCCCACAGAGCCGGAGTTACAGATGAGCACCAACTGTGTGCTGGGAACCGAACCCAGGTCCTCTGCAAGCGCTCTTCCCGGCTGCAACATCTCTCTGGTCTTAAATCAGTCAGCCTCCCCACCCCCTTTCCAAACATTGTCTCCCTTCAATCAATTCTGGCTCCGACCAGAACTCTCTCAGTGAAGATTCACGAAGGTTATACAGTCTGAGCCTTTTCAGGTCAGGAAAGGTCAGTGATGGGGGAAGTAGCCGCTGCCTGGAGAGGGGGGCGCTTGCCCAGGTGGGGACCTTCCCAGGTCCTGGGGCTGGAAGTGACGCTTTCCCGGTGCTTGAAGGCTCAGTCACTGACAGGCTCTCCGTTGGCTTCTGGGTCAGCCGTTTGTGTTTGCCTGTGTGCACGCCTTCCGTGCTCCCCTCCCCGCTGCTTCAGACTGGCGGGACACGCTCCCCACCTTCCGTCCAGTCAGCAACCCACTTCACGCCCTTCCCTGTCCCTGGAAGACAGGGCTCTCAAACTTGTCTCTGCTTAAATTAGTGTGCCTCTCTTACAGGAGTTCCACAGGGACACTGGCCTGCAAGGCCGAACCCCAGGCTTCTCCGAGTCCAGCCACTCGTTTATCTTCTCCTTGAACCCCCTCTACTAACCTGTCCAACATCCCCAGCTGGCTCTCCAGTTTGACGCTAAAGTCTGAACCCAGCTCAACCCCCGCTGAAACTGGCGTCTTCCTGTCAGAACCTCTTTCCTAGTCCCGCCACCCTGCACTGGGTCTCCCGACCCGACTCCACTTTCTCTTCCTCTGTTCTGCTCCAGACCTCAGCGCGTCCCGCACACATCCTTTGTCCCTCGGCCCTGCCGAGAAACGCTGAGGATTCTAGGCTACGCCTCTTGATTCCGAGAGAGCCAGGGCCGGGTTGGGGGCGTGGCCTGGGATGGGGCTCTCCGAGGCCCCGCCCTGGCCCCGCCCCAAGCCTCCTACCTCTGAGTGTAGCTGCAAACCGGGTGCATCCTAGCTGGCCATGGAGACCCCCGCACAGCGGCTGCATCTTCTCCCGCTGCTGTTGCTTCTTTGTGGTAAGGAGACATCTGGCTTGGGGCTCTCCATCTCCGGGGGGCCTGGGGACCCACACGGACTCACACCTTCCCAGGTAGAGCCTAGGCTGCGCCCTCCTTTTTACCAGAGTTTGGAAAGGACGCACGCACACTGACTCCCGCTCAGCCTGCAGGTTTTGCTGAGGGTCTTCTCGCTCCTCCACCTTTAGAGGAGCTGAGGAAAAGGCCTTGGGCTGCAAGGTTCACACAGGGTCTTCTGCGGGACTGCGATGTCCTGGGCCTGGGGAAGGGTCTCTGGTGAAGTAGTGAGTCCCCCATCCTGCCCTGCGCACATGGCACACAGGTGCGGGTGGCTAGAACTCCCAATCCTTTTCCAGCAAGAAAACAGGACCCGGGGAGGAACACTGCTCTCACAAACTAGAAATGGGATAAATATTAAGCTTGTTTTGAAAGGGGGTGTGGAAGACATACAGTCGGTAGGGAGACATATTAAGGGGAATTTGATGGGGGGAGGGGCGTAGGGATGGAGCTGATCAAAATACGTTGTGTACATGCATAACATTTCAAAGAACAAAAATATTATTAAAAAGGAAATACTAAGAAAGAAACAAAGTGTTCTACTGAAGGAGTGTACGTGTACAGGTATGTGTGTATGCTTGTGTGCACACGTGTGTTCATGATTGTGTCTGTGTGCCCGTGTGTGCATGTGTGCCTATGTGCATGGGTAAGGGTTTGATGTGAGAGAGCTTGCCAGGTGCTGCCAGTTCGGGCCAGTGCCTGGCCCCAGCTGGGAGGAAAGCTGTTGGCAGGAGGGTGTTTGGGGGTCTGTCCTCTGGGGCCATGGTCCCTGGGTCCTTTAGGATGCTTTCCCTACCCAACTGGCTCAGCCTCCTTGGCTGTAAGACGAAGCTGGATTTGTTTGCAGTATCTTCCTCAGTGTTGACGATGTGGGATTCGGCCTGGGAGTTGGGACAAGGATGGCCAGACTCAACAATTAGTTCTCTCCCTTTGATGAGGTCTCTGTGTACAGAGTGGGGCTGTTTTGTGTTCTAGAGTGGGTGCCTATCCCGAAGTCAGTGTGCTGTTTCGGGATTTCAGCAATCCTCCGATGCAAGGCTCCTCAGGTGGGGACTTTGGTTTCTAGGGGAAGGAGGGTCCTGAGTTTATTTGGAAGGAAACTGTCTCTCCTGACAGTTTCCAGTGTGGAAGACAGACGCTGAGCTGAGCGCAAGCCTCATTAGGTTCCAGTCTGCCAGGGATCCTGTCCCCAAGGGCCACTTTCCCATCCTACTTTGGTAGTCTGCCCTGTCCTCCCTGTCCTGGCCAGGGGCCAGGCTTCTAAGCGGCAGGCCAAGTTCAGCCTTCTCACAGACCTGGCTGGTGTGAGTCTGGCCAGACCAAGACTGTTCCATGCAGCCCGGCCAAGATGGGATCTGAGCTCGAGAGGAGCCGAGCTCCCTAGCTCCTGGGGATGCTGGCCACCGCCAATGCTTTGTTGGTACCTTGATGTCTGGAACTGTCTTTATGCTGCCTAGAGCAGGGAGTCTGGTCCTTGCAGAGAGTAGCGTCACAGGAGGGCTACCATTTCCAATCAAGAAGGGTCTGGTTTTGGGGGGAGGGGGGCTTCCTTGGAACTCTAAAGGACTCTACAGGAACCTTTGATATACTCAGGGTTCTGGGAGGAGGAGTCCAGCAGGGACCCACGTACCGGCTCTTAGTCTCAGTTTCCCTAACTGCAGCAGGCACAAGGTGGTTCTCCCCTACCCCTCCACCTCAGTTTCCTTATCTGTCATGGGGGTGGGGCAGCATGAGCGCAGCTGTGCGGTACTGCTGTGTTGGTTGGCTTGGTTCAGTCCAGTTCAAGGCAGGCACTTTGTGCTGTGGAGACAAACGCTCATGGCAGAGCAGAGGATGTGCCTATGTGTGAGAGAGAGAGAACACCGTGAGAGAGGAGAGAGGGCACCCCAAGATCTGTGCGTGTGTGTCCATGAATGTGAGCATGTGTCCACGGTTTTTATCATGAGTTACAGTCATGGCGCCCTGCCACTGTGTGACCTTCCATACTGATATTGAGCAGAATGGGTGGCCAGCAGTGCTGGGAACTTACCGTCTCGAAGGAGGTGGTGTTTAGCCATAGGCTTATTAGTACTGGAGCTGCCTTGGAGGTCATTTGTCCTACTTCCATGACAGATAGGGAAACTGAGGTGGAGGGGCAGGGAGAGAACCGCCTTGAGCATCGGTGGGACAGAACTGACCTCCTGCCGCCCCCGAGGCCAGCTGACCATGGCCTTTGGGCCTTAGTCTGGCTGTGTTCATTTCCATGGAGGATGAGAGCGCCTGGTTTCATTTCCAGATGACTGTCGACAAAAGGCCTTTCTCTAGGAAATGCATCTGTTCGGCTATTTATCAAATCTCAGCATCTGGAAGTCACCGAGACAAAAGACGCAGAGGCCGAAGGGTTCTTTGTTTCTGAACGGAACCGTTCAGAATGGGTTTCTGCTTTGATTCAGTTCCTGAGAGCTTTACGGATGAGCCCATAGCTGGATGGCAGTGCCCTGCTTTCATGGTGTTCCAGGGGGTCGGTGTTACTTCGGGTGTGTTGAGGGGTGTGCTGGAAGCCCGTTAGGCTTTGTCTTGCATCAGGAATGGCGACAGACCAGGGTCCCCTGGGAGGGTACTGCCTGTAGCCCACAGGTACCTGTCTAGCGTGGGCCCAGAGCATTTTCACAACACTCCCGAGGCAGGAAGTTATGCCAGCAGATCTGCCCGAGGATGACATGCAGGCCTTGATGGCACCTCACGACTGCACGGGACAGACTTCTGCTGTGCCATGCCCAGAGGGGCTCAGCGCTAAAAAGGGATTCAGGCAAAGATTCTACAGTTTTGGGCTGGAGAGCTGGCTCAGTGGTTAAGAGCACTGGCTGCTCTTCCTAGAGGACCCGGGTTCAATTCCCAGCACCCACATGGCAGCTCACATGGTAGTCTGTAACTCCTGTTCCAGGGCATCTGACACCCTCACACAGACAAACATGCAGTCAAACACCAATGTACATAAAATAAAAATAAAGAAACTAAAAAAAGATTCTAGAGCTCACAGTATATATGGGTACTTGGGGATACTAAGGTTTTCAGAGATTGGGGCATGTGGAGATTTTTTAGGGTGTGTGGTGATTCTGGGGCATGTGAATGTTACAGGGCACAGAGATCTGGGGCGCACAGGTCTGGTGGTGTGGAGTTTCTGGGGCACAAGGAAGTTCTGGGGCATGCAGTACTTCTGGGGACATCAAAACACTGGAACATGTGGAAAACTGGGGCACACAGAGCTTCAAGGCAGAGCCGGGAGACAGGTGTGCTGTGATGGACTCTCCACCTCTTCTTTTTAGGTGGTTGGGTTCACTCAGCTGAGGTTGGTCAAACCATGGAGGAAGGGCTGAGCAAACCTGTTCTGAACAGAGCTGGAGAAGGAAAGGGAGAGAAAAGAGGAGGAAGTGGGGGAGAGGGAGAGGGAGAGGGGAGGAGGCCTTGGTGATCTGGCAGCTGTCCTCAGGGCAGGCGGAGGGGGCCGTTTCAGGTCCAGGTCCAGGAGGGCAAGAGTGGGCGACTTGCCCAGATGACATATATTCAGATGTCGGGCGGAGGTCAGTACCTGTGCTAGAATCCTGAGCGGGTCCCACAGGGGACTGACGAAGCCATATCTGGGAATGAAGATAAGAGATAGATGTGCTAAGCAGCAAGTAGACTTTGAGAGTCCAGGGTCGGGAGCCTGTCTGTGGAATGCAGGGTGCTAATGGAACAAGGAGGCCTGAGGGGGAAAGGAGCACAGTATGTCTTCCCCGTCATCCTTCTGCATACAGTGCCTAAGGTTCTCTCCTGGCCGGGACCAGGGCCGCTTTCACACCTCTGCACTATCAGGGGTGGCAGCTGCAGCTGCCACCTGAGGTGTCCCTGGCTCGCATGCTCACTGCATGTTTGGTCCTGGGTACGTAGCTTTACTTCTGGGCCTTGGTCTCCATCTCAGGGAGGGGGCAAGAAGAATAGTGCTTTCTTGAGAGTGTCTGAGGAAGGTGAAGAGTCACGGGTCGAAGTGGGGAACAGGCTCCTAGTCCAGAGACAGTGAGCTCAGTAGTCAAGTGTGCGAGGCCTAAGTGAGCAGCAGGCGGTTGCTGCCTGCCGCCCTTTGCCTTACTCCTGCGTCGTGGTCCTAAGACCTGCAGATGGGGCCTCTTCTGGAGCTGGGCAGAGGTTAGCCCAAGTGTGTGGGAGGGGCACGAGCATGGCATGAGGCCTCTGGGCAATGGCCTGCACACCCGATTTCACCCGCATTGTCTCCAGTTCATTTTCAGCCTGGTTTATACATCAGAGTAGACGCTTTGGGGGTTTTAACAAACAGGGGCTTTTGGGGCCTCACTTCAGCCATGCAGTAGTCCTGGGCTTGACTTGATAGGGTCTAGTGTGCAGCTCAGTCTGTGATTACCCCGAGAGATAGCATTACGTAAGAAGGGGTTGGGCTTAGATCCCTTGGCCTCCTTTCATGGTGGCCCTGCATATGTCAGGAATATCGCTGCCTCACCTTCAAGAGGCTTTCCCTCTGTGGCGGCTAGTCTTGGCTGTCAGCTTGACACAACTGGGAAGGAGGACCCTCAGCTGAGAGGAACTGCTTCCCTCAGATCGGCCTGTCTTGATTTCTGATTGGTGGAGGAGGCCCCAGCCCACTGAGCACGGTCCCACCCTTAGGTAGGTGGGCCTGGTTTGTGTGATCGTGGTAGCTTGGAAAGCAGGCCATAGGTTCCTTCCTGCTGGGCCTTCCGTTGATGATGAACCTGTAAGCTAAAATAAGCCATTTCCTCCAGGTTGGTTTTGGGCGGTGTTGAGCCCAGCAAAGCAGGGCACCTAGTGTAATTATCCCCTTCAGAGGGCCTAGAGTTATGTTAAAGCAGGACTCGCTGCCAGCATCCTGAGATGCACAGAGCCTACAGCAGTGTTGGGGAGCAGAGAATAGGAAACTGGGGCCCAGTGGTATC